AATCCCTTGTATTCTACAACCGACCCTGCCCATCAGCCGCAGAAACGCAAGATCCTGACTTATCTCAAGGGGAGTGAGAAAAGGACAAAGGGAAAGAAAGAAAAATAGAACATGTCTTTCCCTTCTTTTTCTTAAGCTAGAGAAAGAGATTGGTCAGCAACCAAGAAGCAGATGAGCAAGATTATGATGATGAAGAAAAATTTAAAAAATAAAAAAGGAAAGCAGAAACGAGGTGCTGGGAGCCAACAGGCCCCCCACCCCCTGGCTCCAATGATGTTCAGTTCTTGGGTCCCAAGCTCCCCAGGATGGGCAGGGGAGTCTGTGCCTTCCTAGAAGGTACTAGGCAAAAAATGACGAACAGAGAACTGTGCTCAGCTCTGACTCCTCCGTGGTGTTAGTCGGTTTATTAACAGGGTGTCCTGCACTGCTGGAGCTTGCGAGGAACCAGGACCTCCTTACTGGAGTGAGCATGTGCTGAAAAGCCCCCAGCTGGCTCTGTGCCAGTGTGAGGGGCACAAAGATGGACCAGATACTGGACCTTCCCTTAGGGAAAAAACAGACCTTCCACCGAGGACATAGACACCGGGGCTGTGTTGTGAGGGTGTCCTAACAGAGTCAGCACTGATCACAGCAGAAGCACAGAGGAGAGAGTGCCTGGTCCAGGACCATAGAGAGGTGGCAGGGGCCATAACTGGACCTCATCTGGAAAAGTGGCCAGATCAAAAGAAGGAAGCCGGAGGAAGGAGTATGGCGTGGTTCCAGGCATTTGGATCTGCATGTGCAAAGGCACAGTGCCTGGAGGATCATGGGAAGAAGGGTGGTCTCTGGGAAGGTGAGGGAGCCAGTTTGGAATGTGGCCTGCATGACTTGGTAAAGAACCTGGACTTCACAGTACAAGTAGGCAATGGGACCCACAAAAGGTGTTTTCAGGTGGTAATTCTCTGACAGCAAAAAGATCAGCCAGAAGGGTCTAAATTAGAGCAAGAGCTGGTCTACAGGGAGGAATGAACTCTAGGGGTTTTTCCAAGCTGTAATTGACAAGATTTAGTGAACTAATAAACAGAGACTAAAGAAGGAAGAGTCGAAGTGGAGCCAGATTTGGGGCAGAGGGACCTGTGCCTACTGAGAGTCCAGTTTGTGAGGCTTTGAACTAGGGATGGCCCAACACAGTGGCACTTGATCTTGGCAATAGCTGATCAGGTTGGAGTCTGGTTCTCATGTTTCAGATGATGAATCAGAGCCTCCAGGGGCTTCTGGAACTCCCCAAGGTCACACAGCTACTAAGCAATGGAAAGAGACTCTGATTCCAGATTGTTCTTTTAACTATACCAGTCAAGGACAGGTTGGGGGTCTGAGAAGCTGCTGAGGTGTGGACATTCAGGGGACCCCAGGGGAATGCTTCTGATGTTTCCAGGGAGGATGGGCCTGCAGGGATGGGGTAAGAAGTGAGGACAGGAGAACTGGAGGCTATGAGGAGATGAGATTTCTGCAGGAGCGCTCCTAGTAAGAGCAGAGAACCCTGAGGAAGCTTCACAGAAGAGGATTCACGAAGAAGCTTGAGGAGGAGCATTCAGAGAGGCAGGAAGCACGTCAGGGAAGAATGGTTTGTTAGGAAACACAGACAGCTCCGAGAAGACCAGAAAGGCCAAGTGCATCAGATGTCTGTCATGCTGCTGTCAAGGAGACCTGAGATAGAGGCCCTATTTGATAATGACAATCTTTATGCTGCAACCTCCGGGATTCAGAGTTAACTTCTGCACGCACACACCAGGTGATTGTCTCTGAACCTGGATTTCACAGCACTCTGCACAGTGAGCTTCTAAGTGTTTGTGGGATGCTTCACTAAACGGCTGTGCACACACACCAGACTGTGTCACCAGGAGCACAGGGTTTACACTTTGCTCAAGGCCTGGCACAAAATAAGCACTCAAGGAAGACACAGAGAATGCCAGGCCGGGGCATGCTCTGCTTCCCCTCCGGGGTCAGGAAGCACTTCTCTGCTTTACCCCAACGCTCAGCAGTCAGGACAATGCCAAGCTGCTCTGCTCACTGCAGCACCAGCCGATTAGTGAGCAGAGTTGCTGCTGCCGCATCACTGACTTGGTCCCAGAGGCCTGCCTGACCTTGGGTCACCTTCCTTTCTGCCTGGCTAAGCACGGAGCCATGAGCTGGTTTTGCTGCCTTTCAAGCCCGGAGCAGTGGATTTAGCACAAAAGAAGACTGGGTGGTTGTTTTGTCTGAGGGAAATCAATGTCCCTTAAATACAAATTGAACTGGTAGTCTGTACCGCACAGTGACAGGGCTGCACAGGAATGTGGCAGAGGGCATCCAGAGTCAATGTCCAGGTCTCTCACCTTTGAAATAATGTATTTTCCTACAAACACTGGCTGCAGGAGAAAGAAGGTGATAAGTCAGGAGGCTGGGGAGAGTCCCAGCTAAACCTCTAGCTGGCCATGTGGTCCTGGGCAGGTCACTCATGTTGTCACTTAATGTGTATGCTTTCTGGGCAATCTTTTCTCACCTGAAAAACATGGAGACCACCTCAGTTACCCTCAAGGCCACTGAAAGTGGCTTAGTACTGCTGCAGGTAGCAGGGCTAGGGAGAGGCACCCACAAACAGAGGCTTGCCTTGACCCAGGACAGCCTCCCAGAGCATCTGACCCTAGAACAGGGCCTAGCACCACCCTGCAGTGGCATCTTGGTCTGGAGCCCTCATGTTCAAGCCCTGGTGACAGTGGCTGGGGAGCTAAGGCAGGATTTGGGGCTCCACAGACCTAGGTGCAGTGCCTCCACTGGGAATCTGACTGTGAGCAAGTTTCCAAGTCACTCTGACCTTCAGTCTCCTCCCCTGTATCATGGGAGCCTCCCTACCTGAGGGGTCTTGTGCTGACGATAGGAGATCATGCAGGGAAAGGGCTTAGCATAGTGCCTGGCACACAATGACAGTGTGGTCAGTCTTAGCTATTATAAAAGTAAATATTTATGGCTTAGATCCATACATCACGAACACCTCAAAAAAATGGAGATTGTGCTGGGTGCAGTGGCACACGCCTGTAATCCCAGCCACTCAGGAGACTGATACAGGAGGATCGGGAGTTCAAAGCTAGTCTCAGCCACTTAGCAAAACCCTAAGCAACTTAGTAAAACCCTATCTCAAAATTAAAAAAAAAATAAAAAGAGCTGGGGATGTAGCTCAGTGGTAAAGCACCCTAGGTTCAATCCCTGGTTCCAAAGGAAGAAATGGAGATTGTAGAGACCTCAGATATATTTTCTAAGCCTCTCCTGGCAGAGATGAGGAAACCAAGATCCTGAAGGGAGCAGGGACTTGTCCTAAGATCCACAGGCAGAAAGTACAGCCATAAGCCCAGTGTCCCAACTCCAACATGGGATGGACCAGGATGCTTCATCCCCAGGTCCTATGAGGACCCTGGCTGGCGCAAATTTCAATCCCAACATCCTTGACTGTGGGGATCCTGGTATCCCACCAACCAAGGCTCTGGCCCCATCCACGCCCACCTAGTACACATCTCCTACCCAGAGGGTCCCCAGAGAGGGCTCTGTCCTCAGCAGGCCCTTGGTAGAGCCCCAGGCATGACTTGACCCAGGCCACTTCCCTATTCTGGGTCTGTTTCCTTAAATGAGACAAATGGCCTTTGAGACCCTTCCAGGTCCGTGTTTTCTGTCTCTCAGGTTGCCCTGCAGCTCTGCCTGAAGAAAAAGGTGATCAGGTAGGGGGTCCCCTCCCTGTTGTGCTCACATGTGGGACTGCAGTATGTGTATAATCCTCCTCCACCTCCAGAAATAGGGATGGTGCCTTTGTCACCTCCCCCTACCCCCCACCTCCAGTCTGCCCAAGGTCAATCAAAGACCAGAACAGGTTCTTCTCCAGAAATGTCTGAGGGAGGGAGGGAAAAAAGGAGGAAAAGGAGGAGGAAAGGAAGGACAGATGGATGGGCAGGCTGAAGCCTCCCGGCACTAACATCTATGCTTCCACACAGCTATGCTCTAAGGCAATTCACCAACAGAGTCTGTTAGGCACAATCACATTCATGGTGGAAACCATCCCCCCACCTCGGGGCGGGGCGGGGGGGAGGGGGGGGAGCAGAGGGAAGGATTTCAGATGTGAAATGACAAGGGACCCCTCTCAGGCTAGGCACAGCTGATTCTCAGAAGCCCAGGCCCCATGAGTCCCTGTGGTGAAGACATCAGGCCCACACTGCAGGGGGTCCGCGCCTTCATGGCAGAAACCTCAGGGATGCTGGTGTCTGAGGCCCCACCTTGTTTCCTTCCAGTCACTAAGCTCATGTGACAAGGCAGCATTTTCCAGCTGATTGTCCCCATTCAGGAACACAGTATAGCAGGATTCTGCAGTATTCAGGAACATCAAGAGGAACGCATCTTTATAAATAACTCCTGGATAAAATGGAGCTGAAAATAGGGAGACAGAAGAGGAAGCAAATTGCTAAGCACTTATTGAGTCGATAGCATTGGCTTGGAAACCTTAGTGCAAATGGCTGGCCTGTTTTATTTCCTTCTCATCAAGAGGTCAAATGCAGGATGGAACCTAGGGGCACCAAGACTGTGTGTGTCCCAGGGTGTGTTTGGAAAGGTGTGGCTGTCTTTGGCCACTGGCTCCCAGGAAAGATAATAATCCAGGTCTCCGCTGGGTGCAGCTGGGGTGCTCACCCCAAGAGCTCTGAACGGCTCTTTCTTCACTGGAAGATCTGGCCACTGGTTGGCCTCTAAGCTCTGAGATGGTAATCCATGGCTAGTCCTTGGTATAAAAGTCAAGAGTCCAAAGGCCCGAATGAAATCTTGACTGTGCTCAGATGTCCTGTTTCCTCCCTCTGGTCCTTAGGGTCATCCTTCAGCCACAAGACCACTTCAGTCTGTGCTCTCTCACAAGCTAAAATTGAGGGGAAATGTGCTTTATTCCTTTGCAATCCCGAGGCCCCTGATTTGGGGCTGTGCCCAGCAGAAAGCACCCTGCAGAGCGCCCCAGCCCTGTCTTCCCGCCCCAGGATCCAAGCACAAAGCTCAATTACTTGAGGGAGCGACAGCCTGCTCACCAGGTCCCTGCACTGCCAGGCCAAGCGCCCCCAGTCCCGCCAGAAGAGAGAGGAGGAGAGGTGGTTCGGTTGTGGGCGGGCAGCCCGACGTGGCCACATCAGCAGCAGCCGCAGGTGCCCGTGTGCACGCGGAGGATGCCGCGGCTGTGCAGGTGCAAGAAGTTGAAGATCTCGGAGGGCATGGCGTGGAAGCCGGGGCGCGGCTTGACGTTGTCGTAGTAGTGGTGCGTGATGTAGAGGCCCGAAGGGTTCATGGGGAAGGCCCAGAAGCCGAACAGGTGCACTTCCTCGCACAGCTCAAGCGCTGCGGTGGCCAAAATGAGGCCGGTGCTGATGCGCTTGGCGCGCACCCCCAGGCTGAGCCAATAGCGCGACACGTTGACCAGGTACTGCGGGTGGAAGTAGTAGACGGCCTGCGGCGACTCGAAGTCGTCCAGCACGTACTTGACGCGGATGGACACGTCGGTATTGCGCGTGTTGTAGAAGGCGGGCAGTAGCACCGACGCGTTCTCGTACACCTGCAGCACGCGGTAGAAGGGCCGCCGCCACTTCTCCAGCTTGTGGAACCTGCGAGGGGACCCAGAGTGAGAGAAGTCCTGTCGCCTGCTCCTCCGGATCCCTAACCCCACCTCTACCCCTCAGTGCCCCTAGCTTCCTGCCCCCTGCCCCCTGGGAGCTTTGCAAAGGGAGGGGGCAGGAACTCACAAGGCTACGCCCCTCCTCTCTCCTCCAGCGCCGCTGCAGAGAAAGATGTGCCCTTTAAGTGGTGCAGGAGAGATCAGTCCAGACCAAAGGGGCGAATATCTAGTGTGTGGTTGCGGAGCCAAGGGAAAGGCCAGGCTTAACCCAAAAAGATGCGCTTGGCACGGGGGCGTGCAGGCCGTCCAGAGTCCTCACATCCTCCCCAGCACTGTCCTCCCCAAGGATGGGCCCTGTACTGGCTCAGCACCCTCCTCAGCCTCTTACCCCATCTATCTGGCACACTTTAACCTTGAACAGCCCACCTTCTGTGGCCTCTCACCGTGTCCTGCCACTTCCTCTGCACCATCTTTGCTACCTTTCTTGGCACCTGATACAATTCATCAACTCCTCCTCCTCCTCCTCCTCCTCCTCCTCCTCTCCTCTTGCCCTTCAATGTGATATGGATGGTGGAACTATGCCCAGCCTTGGGGATCTCAACAAATTGGCCCCTCCCCTGACACCTCCCAGGCACACCCCCAGGGGGCAGCTGGGTGGGGAGCTGCGATCTGTGGTCCTGGCTTCCCCAGTGCCGCCTGGACCCAGCCAGGTAGGGCGCTGCCTGCCCTGGCCACACCCTGGAAGGCTCCTCACAGCCTTAGCCGACAGCAGGCTGACTAGCCCACACTGTCCAAAGGAAATCCAATGCTGGCCTCACATGCAATGTTAAATATTCTAGTAAACACAACTTGAAGAGAGAGAAATGGGAGAGATTAATTTTTATATTTTATTTAACTCAATATATTGAAATAATATCATTTCAAGATGGAATTAATATTTTTAAAATGAGATAAATGACACCCTTTTGTTCTCATTAAGTCTTTGAAACCCATTTCAAAGATTTATATTTGTATATTTCATGGGAACAGCCTGCACACCTCAGTCTGGACTAGCCACGTTCCCAGTGCCCAGTGGCTACAGGGACTGTTGGCTACAGAAGAAAAAGGGCCACTGACCTTTCCGTGATGATGCTGGGGTTCACCGTGACGACGTCCGTCTTCACCCCCACATCCACGGTATACTTCTCTGAGATGGGGGGTAAGTTGCACCTGCAGAAGACACAAAGCAGCCCAGGCAGGGGGTCAGTCACTGTACAGATGACACTGGGAGGGGGCAAGGGTAAGGAAGGGATCACATGGACACAGGGATGCAGAGGTGGCCAGCTGGGCCAGACTTCTGGGGCCAGGTAATAAGACAGCAGCCCTCTTGCTCTGTGTCCAGCATCAGGCCCAGTCACTGGTTTTGCTGAAGTTCCAGACCCAGCAGGCAGAGAAACCACCAGAGGAATTGTATAGTTACAAGCTCTGTATAGAACACCCCTGGATAACAGGACCAGGACTATGGCTCTAAGTGGACGATGGCTGGGGTGCACCCCCTTGCATAGGGGTAGACTTCTCTGAGGAAGCGACACTTACTCGAAGGAGGAAGCAGCAGAAGCCCACCAGTGGAAGACTGGTCAAAGGTGGGAGTGGTCAAAGGTAAGCTTTGAAATGCAGTACTGAGTGACAGAGCAAGTTGCAGAGTGAGCAGAGGAGCAAACTCTGTGCAAAGCCCCTGCCATAGAGTCACGGCCACCAAAGATGCCCTTAAACGTCCTAATACCTGGAACCTATGAATAGGTTCTGCTCACAGGTTCTGCAGCTGCAACTGTTAAGGAGCTTGAGAGAGGGGATCATCCTTGATGAAGCCAAGGTCATCACAGGGTCATACAGGAGAAAGTGATGTCACAACAAAGGAAAGAGAAGAAAACATGTGACTGCAGATCCAGAGAAAGAGACGGGAGGACGCTACGCTGCTGGCATTGAGCCAAGGAAGGCAGACAGCTTCCAGGAGCTGGAAAGGGCAACCCGTCCTCCCTTACAGCCCCCAGAAAGGGACGCAGCCCTGCCAGTGCCTTGACTGCAGCCCACTGAGACCTCTGACCACTGGAGCAGTAAGATGACAAACTTGTGCTGTTTCAAGCCACTACTTGTGGAGACTTGTTACAGCAGTAATAGGAAACTGACCCCAAACAGTGAAAGTTAACAAAGTATTCAGAGTTAAATCCACATGGAATGAAACCACTTTTAACAATCAAGGAAAAATAAGTGCAAAATTCAGGGTGGCGATTACCTCTGGGGTAAAACAGTAGAATGGGAAAGTTGATAGACTGCCTTGATGCAAATCTGCAACTTTTAAATTAAGTGGTTGGTTTACAAATATTTATTTTATTGTTTTCTACATACTTAGAGATGTGGTATAAGGTTTTGGGGTTTTGTTTTGCATCAAATAGTACATGATGAATGAATAAATACACTGAAAAGAAGTGGGTGTTAAGTGGGTAAATTTGAAGGTCATGGGCATTTCAGCTTGTGGAAAGGTCCTGTGGTAGAAGAAAGCAGGAGGCATCTGGGAATGATTGAAGCCTAGTAACTACAGCAGAGTGAGGGTGGTGGTAGAAGCACAGGGCGAGGGGCTGGACTACAAAGGACTGAGACCCATGCAAAGGAGTGTCTGCTCTTTATCCAGGAGAAGTCATGAGAAGTCATGGGTCTAAGGAACGACTGTATAGAACAACCCTGGATAACAGGACCAGGACTATCACCTATCTTATAACCCAGTCATACCTCTCCTATCAGACCAGTGTGGAAGGCAGGTTTTACATTCCCCTTACAGACAGGGGATGTGCAGTTATCATGTATTGAGCACTTACAACATGCCAGGAGCTTTCACAGGATTATACGAGACATGGTGAACCTTAAGGGGCAGATATTAGGTCCCCTGTGTTATGAATGAGAAGCAAGACATTTGGAGAAGTACAGAGACCTGAAGCTGTGAAGTGGTTGAGTCATGGCTGGGGACACGTCTGTCTGACCTTGAACCTAAGGCGCTTTCCCAAAACTGGATGTCCTATCCAGTAGGGACATCGCTGGACACAAAAGGGACTGGCAAATCTTGGATATGCATGGCAGGCACTCAGCCAGGCTTTGCCACTAATGTCCCACTAGGACAAAGACAGTGACAACAATGAGAGGACCCCGTGTCTCTAAAACCAGCACAAACAACTGTGCGTTACACCTGGCTCAGGTGGTAGGACGAGAGCACGCCCCAGGGAAATGCTTCCTGGCCCCTGGGGAGCTGAGGAGAGGCCATGGTACTGCACGGAGAACGCAGGACAAGAGCCACATCCCTAGTTCTGACCGTGACCGGCCATGTGGTCTGGGCCTGGAATGTCACCCCCACCCCCCTGCAGTTGTTTTCATCTGTAAAATGAGAGAATATCAAAAGGCAAATTTGTATTATAACAAAGCTTAGTGTGTGTCCCACATTGCTGGAAGATCTTGCCTGTATTAACTCATTCAATCCTCACGGGGGAGGGGGGGGGTAGGTACCATGGTGGCCCTCATCCTGCATTTCAGGAAGGGAAGATGGAATGGTCAGTTAGGTCACTTGCCTAAGGTGACACAGTCCCTAGTTCAGACGCAGGCTTCCAGGCCTCAAACTCATGGCTTAACCAGTCTATCACCACGAAGCATCCTGGGGATACTGTGACCCCGTCCTTCCCCTCACTCCTGCACCCCTTCATCCCATGCTCGTTTTCTGAGTTATTACAATGTGCCAGCCACTATCATAGGAAGTTCTCTGTGTTTCCAGTCCCCACAGGTGAAACCACTCGGCTGATCATGGCTACAGGGCTGGGTGTCTAATGCCACATGAGATGTGGCACCAGGTTCCATGAAGAGTGCAAGCGGAGACAGCCAGGGAAGGAGTGGGGATCCCTGAACTAAGCTTGAAGGACAAGGGGACAGCATAGCCAGAAGGTCAGGGGGGCCAGAATGGGCAACCTTCTAGGTGGAGAGGACAAGACCTTGAAAGAGTAGTAGCTGACATTTCTTAGGCACTGACAGAGTGTCCAGGGCAGTACGCATAAGAGCTGAAGCAGCCTATGTCACTTAATTCCCCAGCTCTGGGAAGCTGCTGTCATTAACCCCACTTTGCAGGTGAGGAACCATAGTCCAGAGGAGCAAGATGACTTCCTAAGGCCAAGCACCTGGACAGAAGCTCAGATAGGCCCCAAAGACCCAGGAGGGCCTTCTGGCCTCCATTAGCAAGCCAGTAGCCGGGCTTAGGATTTGGGGATGGCTGCCATGTTGGAGAACTCTGAACCTTCTTTTGGGCTTCTCGGTGTCCCCAGGAAGTGTGGGCTGACTCAGGGCAGCAGGAATAGGTGTCTCTCACACATGTCACCCACCCACCCACGTCAGTGATGCTACTTCCAAGCCTGATGCAGGGTGTCCTTGGCTTCCTTCTCCTAGGGACAGAAGGCTGGGGTTGCACTGCCAGGAACCCAAAATTTGCAAGAGCTGCCTTTATTTCAGGACTTCCAGCCACACCAAACCTCCCCTGCCTCCCTCCCTGCCACCAACTCTGAGTGGCCCCCTGATTGCAGATCCATAACCCCTGAGATCCCCCTGCAGACAACCTGTGGGTCTTTGCTTGAAGCTCTTATTTTGAACCCATTGCTACCCAGGCTAAAGAGGAAAGCCGGGCTCCCTAAAGACATAGGAGTATTCTGCATAAGGGAGAGGTGACACAAGGACCAGTGTCCAGCTTAAAGCCAGGGTGAAGCCACAAGGCTGCCCAGCTTCCAATCAGTACTCAGGGAAGTGTAGAACCGGCAGGGAGGTGGGTGCCCATAGCCCGGCCCACAAGTCCTCAGGGCCTCACAGCCTGATCTTTGCTCTTTACATGCTTCTCATTCTGCAAATGGGAAAACGGAGGACCTGGGAGTCCAACAACTTACCCCAAGGGATGGGCTGGAGAGAGAAAGCAGGATACCTCGGAGCATAAGGGTGTGCAGGGTTGGGGAATGGGGGGCTAATTGTTTGAAGGACAATGTCAGAGCATGAGGGGGAGCTGCAGTTTGTGGGGTGTCACAGAGGAGGAGGGTGGTGGGGTCCATGGCAGGTACAGACCCAGAGGGTTCTCTTACCGGAAGACAAAGTCAGCACTGTTGATCTCCCTCCCGCAGCGGCTGTTCTTGAGGATGCCTCCGTTGCCCACCACCGCACACTTCTTAAACTGGGACCGGTAGTAGGGCATATCCTGGGGGAGGCACAGGCACAGTGGTCAGAGCCAAGGTCACCCCTGCCCTCATCTGGGGTGCTCACCTCTGCAACCACGTCTACCTCTAGGATCTCTTGGCCCCATGAGCGAGCCTTACTGGGAATGTGGGAGGAAAGTGGGTCTCCACTTTGCCCATGAGAAGAGAGGTCAACCTGTTATTGCTAGGTGGCCCCAAAGGTCCCTCCCACCTCTGACACCCAGGAGTCTGTAGGCAGCTTCTTCCTAGCACATCTGTGAAGAAGCTTATCTTGGAGCATGATAGTGCTACGGCAGCATCAGGAATTAGGCTAACTCTAGAGACCTGCAGCGTCTGCGGGAGACTTGGTATTCACAGCCCATTTCCCTGGAGGGACAGACCCGAGGGGGCCAGGGCAGGAAAAGCACAGGTGTCTCAAGGACAGTGAAAGCACTCTTTACCTTTTACACAAGAAGGAAAAAACCAAGGTTATCTTTGGAAAAATCATCAAAGCCTTATTATGTTTTATATGGATGTTTTCCAAACTTCCATAAATCAAGAACTACCTGAGAATATCCATTTCTAGGCTTCATCTAAGAATCATGGAATCAGAATGTCCAGGGCAGGGACAGAAGGCTGGGAAGCTGAGAATTTTTACAAACCCAGTAAATACTTACCTTCAGGGAAGTGCCATTCTATGTCACCTGAATTAGAATTCAGGGACTGGAAAATTATGGCTCCTGGGCCACATCTGGCTCGGCTCCTGGTTTTGTATGTCTTGCAAACTATGAACAGATTTTATATTTGCTAGAGATGGAACCCAGAGCCTGTGCCCACCAGCCAAGACCCTATCCTGAGCCACGCTGCCAGCTCCTAGATTTTTAAATGGCTGGAAACAAATCAAAGACATGTGAAAATTATACACAATTCAGATTTCTGTGCTATTGGGACACAGCTGCCATCCTTTGTTTGTCATTCATAGCTGTGTTAGTGCTTGGATGTGGGATGTGACGGAGACAATATGCCCTTCAAAGCCCAAAACATTGGCTATCTGGCTCTTTCAGAAAATGTTCGGTGACCTCTGCTCTTTCCCTGGGCCTCTGCAGTCACACTACTGGCTGTTCCAGTTCCCCAGGTCCCTGCCTGGCTGTGTTTCACTCGCTGGTCACCTCACCAGCCTCATGTTCCAGGGCTAAGACCCACCTTGCAAAGGTAGCTCACCACCATCCTCTCTGGCACTGAGATGAAACCACTCAGTGGGAAGAAACCACTGGCCTCCAGCTGCTGCCCCGAGCTCCACAGAACCTGAGTCTTACTGGCGCCTCTGGTAGGACTGCAGGGAGACTGGGCTTGGTGGCACTCACACCCCCCAGGACCTCAAGCTTCATCCAGACAGATTTGCACACACCTCCATTCAGCATTACTTCTCTTTTTTTCGGGGGGGGGGGGGTACTAGAGATTGAACCCAGGGGTGCTTTACCACTGAGCTACATTCTGGGTATTTTTTTTTTAGTTATTTTGAGACAGAGTCTTGCTAAGTTGCTGAGGCTGGCCTCAAACTTAGGATCCTTCTGCCTTAGCCTCCCTAGTCCCTGAGATCACAGGTGTGCGTCCCCCACACTGGCTCCACTCAACATTTCCACAATTGGTCCAAAGTGTAGTAGTGCACATGCCCCATGTGACCTGCCTCTCTTCAGAGGCCAAACCCCATCCACATCTGATGACAAGTACAGCATCCCCTTCCATGAGAGTCTGGAGCCAGGGACTGTGCCTGTGGTCAGCCCAAGAGAACCTCAGTGATCTGAACAGGTCACATGTGTATATCCTTCACTCTGTGACCACCATGCCAGGCTGATCCACCCACTCCAGACTTCCTTATGTGAAAGGAAGGAAAGAAAGGTTTAAGGATATTGTGGATGTTCTTTAATGAGCAACTGAATCTACGCCTACTCCAAGCCCCTGTTAGACACAGAGACTGAGGTTGTGAAAGACTGACCCCAAGGTCATCTGACTTGGGCTAAGTTTCAGAGCCTGGTTTGCCCTGGATGGTGCCTTCTGGGGCTCATAGCCTTGGGGTGTCTCTTTCACTCCTGTGTCTACCTCTGGAGTGGAGGCACATGAGATCCGTGTCCCAGATGTCTGTCCTCAGCAAGCAATGCAATAACCAGGATTTTCACTACTTTCTTGCCAAAGTCACATGGGTGATAGCCAGTTGGCATTCATGGTGCCTAGACAGAACCCCCAAGGAAGCCAGCAGACAGGCTACAGGGCCCAGGCAACTGGTCAACCAGGACAAGCCACTTGGGTACAGAGGGCAGAGCATGAGTCACACAAAATCACACAGAGGGCCTCAGCTGTACGGGCTCCCTCACCCCACACACAGCACCCCGCACAGAGCACCTTGGGAAACATGCGGAAGATCTCCTGGTTGATGTGGTAGATGCCGCTGGTGTCCACCTCGTACTTGAGCTTCGTGCCCAGTGGCGTGTTCTTCTGGGTGGTGAAGAGGAAGGCTGGGGCATTGCAGCACCTGGACAGAGTGGACCTGCCGGGTGGGAGGACAGGAGGGTGACACTAGGCATAGCACAGCCTACCGAGGACACAGGGGTCACTCTGCTGAGCCTCCCCGGTTCTGATTCCCACGCTTGCTCCTGCCCACACCTCCACTGGGGCTCCCTCCCCCTCCAGCAGTGACACCTCCCCAGGCACTGTCCTTTCAGCCAGACCAGGTCTACCACCATGAAGCCTCCTACTGCCCCTGTCCCCACAAATGCACTGTCCCAAAGGCTGGCGCACAGACTGGGAGCCATAAACCTCATCTACCATGTCCCGCTCGGGCTTGGGTGACAGCCATTGACAGCAGGGGCTTCCCCCTCCCAATCCTGCCTAGGGCTAGTCACACCCTTAGCTGTTCCCCACTGGAGCCTCCATCCAGACCTGCTGCCCAGAGCCAGGCTACTCCTGCCGCATTTGTGCAGCCTGAACTGAAACCCCCAGGGAGCCTGAGCTCCTCTCAGGGCCTCAGCCCCCATCACAGATTAGACAAGGCATCCACCTTGTCTGAAGTCTCCCCAGAACCAAGATCCTGGTGGCCAACAGAATTGTGTGCTATCGACCACTCAGAAACTGAGTCAGGAAAAAGGAAGGGTCAGAAACTGGGTGGTGGGTGATGCTGCTGGTTCCAACAGAAATGTCAGGGTTTGTCATTTTTATAAAAGGAGTCCTGATGAGAGCCACAGGGCTCAAGCTTAGGTAGCAGCTTCATCAGGAACAAGCTGCAGGTAGGACGGGCTGGTGTGGCAGGCCCGGGCACCAGCCAGGCCAGGGGAGCCTGGTTCCCCTCCACTCTGCACCAGGTGTTCCACCCAGCAATGCATTCTGGGGGCACCAGGAGACTCCACACGCTGCCTCAGTGGGTCAGATCCTGGGCACACCGTGCTCCCCAGCCCTGGGGACGTGAAACTCTGAACACAGAGGGCGCTGGACTTGAATAAGGGCACAGACCATTGCCCCCTAATGTCAGGGATCTGGGCCCATGAGGCCCACTTCCTCCCAAAAGCGGCAGCAGCAGGCTCAGCACATGCTGGCTGCCTCCAGGGACACCAGCATCCAGGCACAATCACCACCAGCATCCAGGCAACTTCCCTACAGAGAGGGACACCTTCCCTACGGAGCCCTGCAATGACCACTAATGAAGAACCAGGAGGAGATTTCTGAAAGCCCAAGTTCTAGGATGGAAACTTAGGTCACCAATCTGGTGACAAGGGGCCTGGATTCTAGTATCTGTTCTCCCACTGCTGGCTGTGGGGCTCCAGGCAGGTCACTTTCCCCCCCTGGGCCTGTTTCCTCATAGGCGACATGCAGAATTGGCTCTTCCACTCTGACCCCTGTGATTCTGTGACTCCAGCTTGCCAAAGCTGGGAAAGTTACAGGATAATTTTTTTTATGCTTATGTCTCTTGCCGGGACTTCACTGAGAGCCCAGCTGGCTGCTAGTCACAGACAGTGGTCTTTCCTATGGAGAGGTGGCTTCCAGAGGGGAGACTAGAAGCCTGGCAGGGCATATCACAGGTCAGCACTACACACCAGCATCTGTCCCTAAGCTTCGCTGGTGCAGAACTCCATCTTGAGTACCCTCATTGGGGAAATCGACTCATACTAATCAAGCTTACAAGCAACAGACATACAAACCAAAATGCCAGTGTCTATTTGTAGGCCACAGGAGAGGAGCAGGACTCAGTTACAGGGCTCCTTCCTGCAACTACAGGGCTCAGGCCTCCCTCCCATCCTGCACTGGGTTCCTACAACCTGCATGAATAATCTCATCATCGTTCCAGGAGCTTGAGACATGAGCAGAGGGAGGCCACTGGATGGCCTTGAGGTTTTTCTACTCAGAGCACCCCAAGGCCTGATGACACCTCCCTTTCCACATCCCTCCTCCCTGGAAGGTCTCAGCTGTCCTGGGTGGTGCTCTCTTATCCCTGCCATGGCTCCCACATGACCCCTGTGTTTCCCTTGTCATTTTCCGGTTGCTTCACTATTTCCTTAGGCATGTGAATCCCACTGATGAGCCTCTCAGCCTAGACAACGGTCATCTCACTGACTGCACCTGTGCTGTGCTCTACGGCCACCCTGGGCGGGCTCAGGCCTTTCTCAGTCCAGGGGCATCGATCTGGGCAGCACATAGTGACCCTCTGAGGGGCAGACTGCAGCACAGCCCCTGCACCATACCATTCCTCCAGCACAATGCTGAGGTTCACAGTCGGCTTTGAGGGAAGGTGGACCTCTGCAAACTACTTTGGGCCTGAGCAGGGTTTCTGGCATCTCACAAAGGCCGCTAGCACCTGCTCTTCAGGGCTCATCACTTCAGACATTCACATTTCTAAAAATGTGCTACTTAAAACAATTATCCTACCTCTAGACTTGGCCTGGAATTGCCACAAACTGGAATAAATGATTTATAAAGAGAATACAGAATTCTCGGTAACATTCCCTCTTCCCAAGCTCTGGGATAGGATTCCTTCATGCTGAAGCTCCCTGAACATTTCAACTCGCACCTGATGTGGAAATCTAGCTTACACCCGGGTTACCAGGGTCGTATCAGTTCCGCAGCCTCAAGTCTACCTGCACCGCCACAATACCATACACTCGCGGGATTGTAGGGAGAGACGGAACCCGGGCACTTGCACTAATGAAAAGAATTTTTGGATGTCTTCCATCTGCTTGCCACCCACAGCAGGACGTTAAGACAGCTCCTGTCTCTTTGGGAGTTTGTAATCTGTTCATTGTGGTTGGAGAGTAATTAGGAGATAATCTACAGCCAGGCTCAGGCGTCTGGTGAGGCTGTCAGAACACAGGCTCTGAAAAGAGGGGAAGCTGTCTTTTGTCAGAGGCAATGTCCCAGAGAGGGTGGCCAGGTTGGTGAGGCTGCAGAGGCCTGGGGAGCCCTCAAGCAAGGATAGCCCCCCTACTAGGCACCTCAGTTAACCCCCACTGTGTGCTGCATGTGACAGCGGTGACCTTGCAGAGCTGCTACAAAGACTGCGGGAGAGAGATGCGGACAGCAGCTGTTCGGCTGCCCGCCTTGCCCTCTGTGGCCTGGGAACCTTGCCACTGCCCACACTCCCAAGCCAGTCAGGGCCGGCTCCAGGGCAGATGGCCTCCCAGAGCTTGGCCTTGCAGGACAGGGGAACTCTGAAGAGGTGGCAATGAGAGGGACAGTGCGGCCACACAGGGAGAGGGGGGACAACGGACGGTAGGTACTTGAACTGGTTGGCTTCGGAGATGTTCATGGCCCATTTGCACATCTGGAGGCTCTTCCACCTGTCGAACAGCTCCGACTGCTTCACCCTTTGGGAGTGGAGAACAGAGAGCAGGTAAGAGGGCCAGGCTGGACCAAGTGTCATCTTTCCAAAAATGCCCCCTTCCTGTTCCCCTATGCAAAATCCTGGACTGGTGCTTTGAAAATAAGTATATACGTATTTTTTATTTTCTGTGTTCTTGATGCTCTGGTGACTGGAGCCTTGCTAATTCCTGAAGACAGCAAGCCAAGTCCCAGCCACGTGCCTTTCATGTGTAAACTGAGCAGTGCAGTCACCTCCTATTCAGAGAGCTGCTGTCCCCTGCCATAATCCCTCCAGGGCCAGCTATCAGACAACCAGTGGCAATCCTTAAGCCTCAGAGCCTGCCACAGTGATCCTAGCCAGTCCCAAAGCTGTCAGCATGACTGCTCCCACCCTGCCCATTCTACCCACAAAAAAACCCACTAACGTTCTTGACGGACTCTCCCTGCGCTTGTCTTCTGAATGGCTTTAGGGCTTCCCCACGGGGCCCTGTGATGGTCATTTTGGGTCTGCATGTCTTTCCACACCTGATTCTAACAAGCCATTATTCCTTGTCCCTCAGGTCTGCACAGCGCTCTCAGGAAATGTTGGTTGTTTTTTTTTTTTTTTGTACTAGAAATTGAACCCAGGGGTACTTCCCCATTGAGCTCCAATCCCCAGCCTTTTTGATTTTTCATTTGAAACAGGGTCTTTCTAAGTTGCTGAGGCTGGCCTTGAATTTGCAATCCTCCTGCCTCAGCCTCTGGAGTTACTAGGATTACAGTCATGTGCCACCACACCCAACTCAGGGCTATGAAGGAGTGACATCAGTTCTCTAGCAGGGCTCCTGTCAAGCCCCACACTGTGCACAGCCCACAGGAGACTCAGGACTGTGGCAACCCTTCTCATCCTCCTGTCCCGGGGCAGATCACAACTGCCCAGTGACATACAAAAGAGGTGAGAAACTATGGGTATGCCCCTTTTCTCTGAAAGACGATCTGCCAGGCGTTATGCTTACTGATTTTTAAATATCTGAGCATTGTTCTCAGGCACTCACAGAAAAGGGAACATCTCAATCAAAAATTGTGATTTTCCCTTTGAAACTCACAAAAGAATTATTACTTAAATTATCAATTTACATTTGCATATTTGTAATTATGCATTGAGTTTCAGTACTATATTTGCATGCCTAGCAAAATATAGACACTTGATAATGATTGTTGAGTAAATGAGTAAATCAAAGATACAAATTCCTACAAACACCAAGTGATCATGAGACCCTTATACACATTGACCGCAATGGCCAGCATCTCCCTTCTCCTTTTCAGAGTGTCTAACCTTGAAGGCCACATGCCACGTCTCACACCCTTTCTCTAATATACGTGCTCAGTGTCTCTGACATCTTCCCTATCCTTGGTTACATATCTCCATTGCACTCGAGAAGTTATTCCTTGGATCCTGTGTCACCACAGAAAAATCATTTCTGAGCCTCAGTCTCCTCATCTGTAACATGGGGCTACCATAACCCTGGGCTGCCTACTAAGAGATTGTGTTTTTACTATTACCACTTGGTTGGCACTTTTATGCATTTCCTTATACTGTTAGCTCTTTGGGTGGTGGGGGGAGAATGGGGCATAAAGGAGAAAAGAGAAAAATCTGTATGAGGACATTTGTGTTTTCCCAAGAATGTTCCATGGACTGCTACTTCAATGTGGTATCACAAGGTATTAGCTGAACTACATGAAAGTGCTACAAGATGGCATTTGCATATGGTTTAACCAATTTTTTTAAAGAAGGGGAACCTATGGTCAACTATATTGGGAACATTGAGTATTTAAATAAAGTTTAATGCTTTAGTGCGAGACTTCTCAGACCCTTTAATAAAGGAATCTCATGCGTATCATCTCCTAGAGTTAATGGATCATGGGATCCTTTTCTTATTGAGCTGTTTCTAAAACTGAAATTCTACAGAAACACTGAAATGCAAGGCAGGCCCTACACTCATTAAAAGCAATACCAAGACTTTTCTCTCTCTTGATCATACACCGTCCCCAACCAAAGGCTAGGCGTGGGGTACGTCCAGGGTCACCTAATAGTGGGTCTTCGGAAGCTGGCTGGACTTGGGCCCTTGTGCAGAAGAAGCCCCTTAAAGGAAGCTATTCTGGCTTAGATCACAAATGAGGAAGTGATCCAGGAGCCGAGAGTTCCCAAGAAAACCCTACGACTGTAGTTCTTACCCCACAGTCTCCTGAAGGGCTTGAGGGAGTCCACCTGGGGCATATTCTGGGGAGAATTCAGCCTTCATCAGCTTCTTGAAGGGATCATGATTCCCAAAAAGGCAGATACCCACTTAACTATAATTTAAAACACACACACACACACACACAAACAAACAAAAAAACAACCCAGACAAGGTTCATTCTGCAGGTGTGTCCCTGAGTTTATTTGGAGGGGGTGACAGTTGTCCCCAGTCAGGTCAAGCCTCACCTACAGGGAGGATGTATGACTGGTGGGGGAGGGGTGGTCGCAGGAAAAGTCACAGAGGATGGTGACTGCATGGGTTTGGAAACTACAGGGACGCAGTTGAGATACCTCCTAACTATTGAAGGTTTGGCAGGTTAGCAGGTTATTTAACTTCTCTGAGCTCAGTTTTCTCATCTATAAAATGAGCATAATAATAGTCTCTTGCCCTCATGGGTTTTTAAATGACTAAATAAGATGACACAATAAAGCATGGGGCCCAGTGCCTGACACAGCAAGCACCTGGGGGTGTAAGTTATTACTGCTGTTCAGCTGAACTGCTGCAACCCTCTGTACTTTGCATTTTTGTAAAACCCACAACCTGTCCTTACTCAATCCTGATTGTTCCCATGACAGCAAATAACCAAGAATACAGGGATCACTGTCAAGTCCAGTGCAAAGCACAGAGCAGGTGCCTATAGAATATTTATTATTTCAAGAGATGAATGAATGGATCAATAATATTGAATCCAAATCAAGTTCCCTAACTATTTATAACTCCAGATGACACAAACTAGAAATACAGTCCCCGACCAAAACAACTCCCTGCTTGCAGGAAGCCTACAGACTAGGGTGGAGGCCCGGGGAAGAAAATTTATAATGGCTCGCCTGAGAGTAGTAAGCGCTGTGCAGCAGGGTGAAGACAGAGGAAGTGGCTGTTGGTTGTTTCAGTGGGTCGATCCCATGATCCATTAACTCTAGGAGATGATACGCATGAGATTCCTTTATTAAAGGGTCTGAGAAGTCTCGCACTAAAGCATTAAACTTTATTTAAATACTCAATGTTCCCAATATAGTTGCACAAAGACTGAAACGATACAGGGAATATCCGGGGAGAGTGTACCCAGGCAGAGAAGAGGGAGTACAAGGCTCTGGCCAGAACCCGCTTGGCATTCAGCCCTGGAAGGAGCCCCTCACATCCAGACAGAAGGCAGGAGAGCTTCCTTCCGGCCTCCCAACCTCCTGCAGCAGCTCTCCGCACTCAGAACCTCACAGGAGAAGAGGTGCCACTACTCTGCAGCACCCTGGCTCCCCCACGGCTCCCCTTCCAACCCACAGGCCCTTGGAGCAGCACCTTGCACAGCCACTGCATCCATCACCTGGTGGAAACAGCCCTGCCAGGCCAGGTCCTGAACTCAACCGTGAGCAACCTCCAGGCCCCATTCCCTGGGCCTCCAGTGCCGTTGCTGCACCCTGAGCACCCAGCCTCAAATCCTGGCTCCATCCTCAACTTGCAAAGTGACCTGGGCAAGTCATTTAATCATCTGTAGGATGGATATCATCGCCTCTGCCCTGCCCATCCCAAAGGTTGCCGGAGAGATCAAATGGAATCATATGCATAAAAACAGTTTATAGATTGCTTTACATGTGCAGAGATCAACTTTACTTTAAAGACGGGGTTGCCCCAGACTCCCCTGTCTCCCCTGACACCACTAACACTCCAGAAGAGTAAAAACGGGCATAAACCTACCAAATAAGCAGAATGGCAGGAGGAGCCTCTAGGAGGAAGAGAGATCTCAACAAGTGAAAGGAAGTGGAGCGGGTGGCAAAGGACAGGATAATAGAACAGTCCAAAAGGGGAGTAGAAAGGGGGAAGGCCCTGTCCCTGGAAATGAGAGTCAGGCTGTGAGAGCAAAACCCACCCCTCCCCCACAACAGGCAAAGATTTAATGTGTGGCTGGGGAGCAAGACTGTTAACTCCTCTCTAAAAACTGCACCATTCCCAGCTAAAAACCTGGACCTTCTAGCTGCAAAAGGCTCAGGAGCACCTAGAACAACTTCAGACGTGAAGCTCCTGCAACCAAGGGTCACCTGGTCAACCTGAGGGAGACAGAACAGGACAAACCACCAGATAAAATGGCCACAGAGAAAACTACTGGAGGTGCAAAAGACCACATCTGCAGTCTCAGCAACTCAGGAAGCTGAGGCAGAGGGATGACAAGTTAGAGGAAGCCTCAGTAACTTAGAGAGCACCTGTCTCAACATTTAAAAGGCGTGGGTGGGAGGTGCTGGGGATGTAGCCCAGTGGCAAAGAGCTTCTAGGTTCAATCCTCAGTATCAAATAGTAATAATTTTGTTCTGCTTAATGTCTCCAGAGCTATTCAAAAGAGTACATCTTTGAAAGTAAGAAAAGAAAAACTGGAGGGAAGAGTTCATTAGAAGAACTGGAAGATGAGGTCAAGGAATTTGACCAGACAGTAGAAGCAAATGGCAAAGAGAGAAAGAGGTTGTGATTAAAAGATATGAGTGCTAGAGAAGCACTCGAGAAGACCCAGCCCAGCTTTTAGATATACTAGAAAGAGGAAGTACAGACCAATGAAGAGGAAGAAAACTGTACAGAAAGATTCAAGAGCAAGTTCTAGAGTTTGGAGACACACACACACACACACAAAGAGTTTGGACATGAGCTCAGATGAAGAGGTCCCACTGGAAAATGAGAATGTCATTGGACATTCAGAAGTGGCCTGAGCTAACAAGATCCCAGAGGCAAAAAAGAAAGAAAGAAACCAGACAGTCTGGAACAGCCATTCTCATGCTTCTCATGTAACCATGTGCTAGAAGATGGTGAAGGTCTTCAACATCCTGGGGGAAAGTCGTTACTTAGGTAATCTCTACAAACAGGAACTACAAAGGCTATCAATACCCCCTGGTATTATTCTATTTTCTGTTGCTATAACAAAATACCTGAGGCTAGTTCTTCTAAGAAAGAGACTTATTCAGCTTAAATATCTCCTACTAGGCTCCAGATTTTAAAAATTCCACTGCCTCAATGTTGCCACACTGAAGACCAAAGCTTCAATATATGAACCCTGGGGGCACAAACCATGTCCCAAACACAGCGTCCTTCAATTGGGGAAGTGTGGGGAGGGGCCTGGGCCTGGTGAAAGGGAACAGAATCTTCACCCACTGAAGCATGGAATCGGTGAAGACGGGAAACAGCATGTGCATGGTAGTGAGAGGTCATTACCAGAGGAGACAGCTGAGAATCGGAAGGAGTAGCTTGGGTGAGAAGGCATGGTGCAGGGCACTGGGACTTTTTATTATTGTGAGTCTGTGCACTGGAGGTTTCTTGGGCAGGAGGCGGAGATCGCATGAGCTGAGATGATCATCTCATTATGCGTCTTTGTTCTCCCCTTTTCTTCCACAGCCTTCTATTTGCACCAGGTCTCACCCTCTTCCTTCACCCACTCATTCGTTTCCTAGGTGTGTCCTGGACCTGTGCAGGTTGATCTCGGAGCTGCCTAGGCTCAAGTTCTGCCCTCGAGGAGCCCCAGTGCAGTGGACTTGTGAACGCTGCCCTGAGACAGCTTCCAGGGGCATGAAGCAGCTCCCAGCCCAGACGGCGGGCATCTGCCCAGTGCCTGTGGCTCCCAGCTTCTCGCCTGGCCTCATTACTGAGCTCAGCACCGAGTCCCAGACCCTGGAAAGATGGGTCATGGGCAGTGGAGAGGCCAGCTGAGAGTTCTCCTGCATGGCCACCAGCTGGATATGAGGGCAGGCAGCAACTGAATATTTTTATTTAAAAATAAAGAGGTACTAGAATGACTAAAATCAAGCATAAATAACTTGAACAAGAATTAGCAATCATGTATTTTCATAACAATTCATCACAGAATAACTCCTCCCGCATCTGACAGTGTCAGGGAGTGAGGCGTTTCCCATGTGGGAATTTTCTGGTTGACTGATTTTTACCATTGATTTGAGCAATTTTGCATCAAAATTATACCCAGATGAATCACAGATCTCCCTGTCTCCTCAGACAGCACCAGCTGACATTGTGTGCGCCTGAAGCGACATGAGTGTGTTTGTCCAGCAGTCTCCCTCCACAGATGGGGATGTGACCTTTTTCCAGTGACTCAGGGCCATCGTTCATAAGTCCAGGTCATGGAGCTGAGCCGGAGCCCAGCAAAGCCTGTGGGTCCCCAGATGATGTCAGAGCTGCTCAGATCAGAGGCCAGCCTCTGGGCTTCTCTGACTTCATCCAGGGAGGACTGGAAGACCCTCAGCTTGGAGGCTCAGGAAGGAAGGCACGGGGCTTGCAGTTCCCTGGCATCTCCTGGGCACATGCACTGATGCTTCATGAGTAGCCTGGGCTTCGCTTGTCCTCTCAGACCCCCGGGGCTTGGAACCACAGAGAGAGCAGCTACCATGGAAGAGACAGGCCATGAAACGCGCAGCTAGACCTGCAGTCACCTCCTGAGATGGCTACTTATCTCAGGAACTCAGCCCTGGGGGACTAGAGAAGGTTCCCCAAAGGCAAATGTGAGAAAAAATGCCACCAGACATCCCTAATGAAAGCCATGACCAGGGACAGCAGGTGGGAAGATGTGGGAAATAGGAGGCTGTCCATCACTGTCCATAAAGTTTGAATTTGGGCTCAAATCAGAGGGCCCAGGTCAACTCTCATCTGGTCCCCAAATATCAGCTGTGATGGGGACTGTTACTGGCTGAGTTGTGTCCCTCCACAACCCATGAGTTACAGCGATAACCTCTAGTACCCCACTGTGTGGCTGTATTTGGAGAAAGGGTCTTTAAAGAGGCCATTAAGGCAAAATTAAGTCATCAGGGTGAACCCCAATGTGACTGGTGTCCTTATAAGAAGAGGAGATTAGGACGCAAGACACAGACCAAGGGTCAGCCATGTGAGGACACAGGGACAGGGTGACCACTGGTCAGCCAAGGAGAGAGACCATGAAGGAAGCCAGTCCTGCTGACCCCATGCCCTCACACCCCCGGGGGTCAAGCACTGTGAGGAATCGGTGTCTGTTGTTTAAGGTCCCTTGTCTGTGGGACTGTCACAGAGGCCCCTACAGCCTATGCAGTGACCAACACCAGCAGATAGGAATCACATGGGGAAAGACAGAGTTGCAGGGAAGGACGGCCAGCTTATAGGGCTTCTCCACTCTTCCTGTCCAGACCTCGGAGTGGCCATGTAAAGACTGTATGTTTTATAATTTTAAAAATTCACTATGTTCCCTTTGAAAACGCTGAGATATGCTTTGGATTTCCACCCAAGTGCAAAGGCCTGAAGTGTTTGAATTCTGAGGAAAGACAGGGGCTCTCTGCTCACGGGCCCTGACTGAAGTCTGGGCGGTCTTTGCCACTAAATCACAGCTGCTCGACAGTGCTTCCAAACAACTCCTGGTCCTGCTTAAACCCTGCCATGGGCACCCACGGCCTCTGGATAAAGACAAAATCCCAGGTGTGGGTCCACACGGCAGGCCCCTCCTGCTGCTCAGCTGACCACTCAAGCTGACCTGGTCCTTCAGGGCAGGGACACAGACTCCCTCCTGGCCCAGGGCCTCAGACAAATATTCCATCCAGGAACCTCCTGACCTAATTAGCACCTATCACCATGCAGGCTGCAGCTGTGCCATCCCCTTCGGGGAGGCCTTGCCTGGCCAGCCCCTTCTCACACTAGCCCAAGTCCAATTCTCTGTCACCTCTTAGTTATTCACGTCTGTTTCCCCCATGAGGGGTGGGACCACAGGGGTGCATGGTGGATTGCCTCAGGGATTCACCCCAGGGCGGGAACACAGACAACTGGTGAATGCAGGAGCCATAACTGACCCAGACAATGCCAGCTGGACATTTGGCCTCACTCTTGGGCTTAGCTTATGGAGTCTACTATAGTTTGCATCTGAAATGTCCCCAAGGCCCGTGTGTTGAAGGCTTGTTTGGCAGAGTGGTGCTATCGGGAGGCTGTGGAGCACTCAAGAGGTGGGGCCTAGTGAGAGGTCTCTAGGTCATTGGAGGTGTGCCCTCATGGGACCCATGAGTGAGTGGCTTTACTCAACACAGCTCCTGCCACACTGTGCTGGCTCACCACAGGCTCCAAAGCAAAGGGGCCACTTGGCCACGAACGGAGACCTCCAATTCTGTGAGCTAAAGTAAACCTTTTTTCTTTACAAGTTGATTGTCTAAGGTATTTGTTGATAGCACAGTCTCTGTATAGGACAGGCCAGAAAAACTGCTGCTGACTTCACAGGAAGTGGAGGAAGGAAAGAGGTAGAAGAAAGCAAGTCAAGCATGAGCATCGGCTGAGCACCTATCATGTGTGCCGTGGTGCATGCAGACCTCTAGGTCACCCATTTCCATGTTCGTCATTTCAGCAGATCAATAGCAACCCTTTAAAGGTAGGTAATGCTGTCCCCATTTCTATAGGCAAGGAAAGGCTCAGAGAGGTTAAGTAAGTTTGCCCAACAGTACAGAGCTGGTAAGGCTCAGAGTGGTCTTTGGACTTGGGTCTGCCTGAGCTCAAAGGCCATGCTCTCCCCATCACCCCACTAGCTGGAATCACATCAAATGGGTAAAGGAGGCCTGGCTCCTATCTATGTGCCATCATGGGCCAAGGTAGCTGAAGTCATGTCAGGGGACCTTGAGTCTATGTAAGAACCCAACACTGCCTGCCTTGAACATCCACCCACCATCAGAAGTAACTGTTTATAAATACAGATTCTGCCATGATTAATATCACACAAACTCCTCTAAGTGGATCTGTCTGCTGAATTCATGGCAGGCGGGCACATCCACACTGAAACGGCCACCATTTAATGTGCTTCCTGCACAGCTGTAAGAGGGTACTAGGTGACATATTGTGGAGGCGGAAGAGGAGCATAGTTCTTTCACTATTTGTGTAAGAAGGCAGACTTCAAGAGTCCCCCACATAGGTGCTTGTTCATGCCCCAATGTGCCCCAGAGAGATGCACAGGGCATGCCAGGCCCCTGGGGAGGGCTCATGGCTGGGAGAGGGCAGCATTTCCCTGGACCTTGAAGGTTGAATCGTTTAAATAATTGAAAAATCAAGACTTAATGAAACTTCAATTTTAAAAATGCGACAGTAAGAGGGCCTGACCCTGTGGTGCAAAGTGCCGAATTTCAAGTGAGTCACTCAGGTGCCCTCTTCTATTTCTACACAAGAGCCCGGCGATGATAATCAAGAAGGCTGTAACTGAGCTGAGGACTTAACACCCAAGTCATCAGAGGTGACCCTGCCAACCTGACCTTCTGTCAAGAACCAGCTTCCAGGGCCTTTCGAATGCCCGTGCTCCGGGAAAAGGAGACCTAATTTTTTTCTCCCCACGATCTGCCTTGCGTTTCCTGTTCCCTTATGGCCTTGTCCTTGCCCCCACCCGGTCCCAGCCCTGCCCCAGCTCCGCATGCCCCTGCGCCCTCCACCCAGCCGCCACACTCACATGGAGAGCACCTTCACTTCCAGTATCTCGTGCCTCAGCTCCAGGCATCTTGTGGAGTTATATTCAAAAGGCCCCTCGTAAAATTCAAAGTACCTGAGGACCAACAGGGACAGAGGTTACACAGAGAAGCAAGCCAGGCTTTCCGGCCCGCCAAGGACTGCCAAGGGAGGCGGGGGTGGGGGAGTGGGGGGTCTGTCTCAGTCAAACAAATAGAGCCAATCAGCCCCACCGCAGCAGAGGACCTGGGGCTGGGGGTGGGTTCCAGGAGGGTGGTCAGTTACTGAGAGCACTCTGCTGCCCTGGGACTAGAAGCACCTACAGTAGCAAGAACCCATTTCAGCCGTGACATGCAGTAGTAGGTCTGGTTCCAAGTTTGTGGCTGTGAAGGAGGAGCCAGAGGAGAGACGCTATGGACTGTGATCAGACAAAGATGAGAGGCCAGGAGGCAGCAGTCCTGGGAGGCCGGCAGGGAGCCAGCCCGCCAGCAGCCACCGGCCCTTCCTGACCCCATTTCTCTTTTTCCTTCTGGGACAATGTCCTACAACACAGCCACAGGCAGGGCTGGATGTCTGCTGCTTTTTTCTACTTAGGGAGCATTTCCATTTCTCTCCACTCACTCCCTGTGCGCTCCCCTCTGTGAGGCAGCTGAGGCTGATGTTTCTTTCTCCCCATTTGGCAGCTGAGAACACTGAGGCTAAACAGAGGCCCAGGTCACACTGTAAGTGCAGGGAAGGCCTGGGGTTTGGCCGAGGGCCACCTGAAGAGGAGTTGAGCTTTTTCTGCACCAGCTGGCTCCAGACAGGTCACAGCCACCACAGGGTCCCTCTGTCAGGTTCATGCAGAATGATACTACCCATTTCAGCCAGCACTTACTGAGGCCTGGCCACAGGGCACTGCCAGGCCAAGTGTTGACTTTTAATCTTTCCCACTAGACTGTGAAAGAAATGATCAGCACAAGCAAACCACACAGGCCCTGGGAGTTACCTCTTCCCCAGTGTCACCTGGTTGGCAGGGAGCAGAGCTGGGGCATGAACCTGCATGTTGATTCAAGGCTGCGCTTGCCCCCACTAGCTACACAGACAGCTGGTGTCCCTGGAAGGCCTTCAGATCTTCCACAACCACGGGATAAGAAGCACCTCTTGGGACAGAGTCACCCCTCTCCACAGCTTCTCTCTTTCCAGAGGTGGCTCAACAGCTGGGGCAGACAGAGCCAGGAGGGCTGAATTCCAGCATAGCCTTGACACCAATCCAGATGCCTGCAGAGCCACACCACATAAATGTGGGAACAGTGGCCTCATGACAGGGAGCCCTCAAGAACCAAAAGTGAAAGAGGCACCCAGGGCTGTTGCAGGGCCAGGACAAGGGACAGAAATGCAAGCCTCCCTCCAGCAAGTCCCAGCACCTCCCAGCACAGAGTGGCTATCACTCCACGTGTCCCCTTATACACAGAACTGCCATGTACAAACACGGACAGGCTGCCTTGGAAATCCCAAAACATTTTACCTGACATAGTGACTTCTTTTTAAAATATTTGTATTTTAAATAATTAAAAAATATAATTTCCGTATTTAATATTTTTAAAGTTTTATTCATATATTCTTAATTTTAATATACTCTAATAGTTAATTTAAGTAACATAATTACATATTTAAGTATTGTTTTTTGGGTTTTTTTTTAATTTTTTTTTGTTTTGTTTTTTTAGGTGGACACAATATCTTTATTTTATTTTTATGTGGTGCTGAGGATCTAACCCAGTGCCTCGCGCATGCCAGGTGAGCATGCTATCACTTGAACCACATCCCCAGCCCTTAAGTAATGTTAAATGATATTTTTAATATAAAAATATTTTATACAACAAATTGGCTGCTTGTTCTTATATGAGCTAATAAGAACTAGAGCTGGGAAAGGTGGCATATACCTGTAATCCCAGTGGCTCAGGAGGCTGAGGCAGGAGGATCATGAGTTCAAAGCCAGTCTCATCAACTTAGTGAGACCCTAAGCAATTCAACAAGACCCCATTTCTAAACAAAATACAAAAAAGGGCTGAGGATATGGCTCAGTGGTTAAGCACCCTTGGGTTCAATCCTCAGTACAAAAAAAAGAGAGAGCTAATAAGAACTAGAGACTGAGGCTAAACAGAGGCCCAGGTCACAATGTCAAGTGCAGGGAAGGCCTGGGGCTTGGCCAAGGGCCACCTCCAGAGGAGTTGAGCTTTTTCAGTACCAGCTGGCTCCGGACAGGTCACAGCCACCACAGGGTCTATATCAAACTCACCTTTTCCTCTCTGGTTCCCTTGTGTTTTAGAACTCCCTTCTCTGTATTTCTCAACTGGCAAATTCATACCGATTCTTCTGCACCTAGCTCAAATGCTCATACTTTCAGGAAGCCTTCTCTTACCCTGACCCATGGGCTCCCAGTCTACTGTCTCTAAATTAGAGCAAATAATATTGTATTGCATTTTTTTTTTTAATACCATGGTCCTTCCAAACGCCAAGTCTCTCAAACACAAGGACTATGTCTTTATTTCTCTCTCTACCTTCTGTACTACAGAGGCAGGAAAGCTAAAGACTACATTTCCCAGACTCCTTTGCAGCTAGGGCCCTGGGTGCAATTTAGGTTCAACCAATCAGAAGCATTTGCACAAGACCCTTTTTCAGAGCTGTTACAGGAGAAGATGGAGAGTTGCAAGGCATGGTTTTGTTGGTGGAGAATGCGGTCCAGGTGGCATGGCTCTTGGAAACTGCAGCAGTGGCAGCACCTTTGTGATTTTTATCAGGGGCAGCAGTTTTCATGATGGCCCCTTGTTATAATGCAGTTTTCCATTCCTGGAAGTGAACCATTTTTCAGTTTTCTCAAAGATTTGGAGCCAGCTGTCCCCTTAATAAATCCCTTTCTCCTTTAACTAGCTGACATGGATTCTATTGTCTGCAACTGAGAACAAGGGGTCAACCTGGGGCCACCAAGCCAGTCCATGACCTTGGTTCTGTCTCAAGTAGTTTTCCAGGCACACAGCAGTAAGTGAGGTCTGGTGTCTTATCACAAGCACCGTCTTTTGCAACCAGAGCCGGTGTCACTAAGCCTTTGGAACCATGATCCCCGCCTGCTGCTAAGAAAAGCTCTAGATGCAAATGATGCTGGAGATAATTAGGAGACTCATTCTAGAATCCTCAGGGAGCTGGGAGATTTGCAGACCCATCTCCGCTGTGGCTGCAAGCCAGCTGTGTGACTTTGGGTAAATCACCTCCCCTCTCTGTGTCTTCTCCCTAAAGCAATCTGTTTGAACTAGACAACATCTTCCCTCTGACCAGCCAGCTTCCCCCCTCTGACCAGCCAGCTTCCCGTATCCTCCAGAATGCTGACCTGCCTCCTTTCACCCAGCCCCCACCTGGTCCCCATTTCTCTTGAATCCTCAATATCACTCATATACCAAATCAGCCAGTAGAATGACTCCAGTCTTGTGCCATATGTCTGGTGGCTCTTAGGTGGGGAGGCTTTAAGAACTGGACTTACATCCCTCATTAGCCACTGCTATGGTCTGAATGTTTGTGTCCCCCAAGATGATGGTTTTAGAAGGTAAGCCCTTTGGGAGGTGAGGGGAGCAGAGGCCTCATGACTGGAGCTACTATCCTTATAAAAGAGGCCCAAGGTAGACCTTTTCTTTCCATCAGGTGAGAACAAGGTGACAAGGTACTGCCTAAGAGCCAGGAAGTAGGCTCTCACCTGAATCTTGGACTTTCAGCCTCCACAACTGTGAGGAGTTAACTTCTATTGTCTATAAGCCACCCAGTCTATGGTATTTTCTTACAGCAGCCCAAACGATGACACTAAGATCGCCACAGCCCTGGCATCCAACTAAGCGAGCTTAACTTCAGACCTGTGCCTTCCCTGAGCCTCAGTTTCCTCATTTGAAAAATCAGCAAAGACAGTGCCGGGCACGAGCAGCAGAGCTGAGATAAGACACTGGGGAGCATTTCTGGGAGGGACTGGCTTTCAAGAAGTGCCAAGAAATGCTCGCATGTGCTGTCCCCTTTCTCCTGCCACTAAAGGGCAAGTGCTGCCAGCAGATGCCACAGGGAGGCCCAGGAAGTCAGAGACTCGCTTCCAGTCCCTCGGCAGGTTGACGGCAGAGCTGAGTCAGGGATGAATAACTCAGGAAGCTTCTCTACCATCTGCTCTGGCAACACCCCCTTCTGCCAAGATTAGTAAACCTCCCCCTGCCACCCTGCGGATGAAGCTCATGCCAAGTTCTGCCTGGGCCTGGGGACGTCCTTGATCATCCCGTCTCTGCTGCAGACTCCATGCATTAACCATGGGTTTCCAATGCTTTGACCCTGGGGTCTTGTCAGGGGTGGTCAGTTCCTAGAGACAGTAACAAACGAGTCCACAGTGTACCTTTCATATGCAAGCCAACCCACGCTCAGCCTGGCCCCAGCCACTCCTCCGGGGGACTTCCACACTCTGGACCTCTAGTCCCCTGCTCCAATCACCCCAGGGCCAGGTACTGGGCACCTAGGGACAGCCCCAACACCCCAGAGCCAAAGGTATTATTCAAACGAGCCAATCCCAAGCCTGCAAACTTCGCCTCACCCGTTCCTGCAGGTGGAAGGCTCCTGCCTGCATTTGCCCTGTGCTTCCTCTGCTTCCTGACTGGCCCTCGGGCTTCCCAGGCAGCCCTGCTTATGGCTTAAAACCCCTTCCCTCGTGAGTCATTTCTGTAACTGCATCTTACCCCAGTGGACCAACGCAATGACAGGTCCCCTGAAAACTCTCTATGTGGTACCTCAGCCAAGCCATCGACACTGCTCCCTGCCTGGGTCTGGAGCCTCGCTTCTCCCATCTGAAAAAGGGAGACCAGCTCCTTCCCTCTCTGTTCCCCTGGGCTTCCTCACTGGGGGCTGTACTACCCGCTTGGTCTCTAAAGATGACTGACTTGGGAAACACAAAACTAGGGACAACCCCAACACCCCAGAGCCAAAGAAATTATTCAGAGAAGTACTGCCACGCTGGGTCAGCTGAACTTCTGCCTCTGATAGGACGCCCGAGGATGGGGTCTGAATGAAGCCAGGCAACGCCCCATGTGGCCTGGATACAGA